AAAAAAACCATAGGCAACAAAAACTATTATGAAAATAATAATTAAAATTTTATGTATTTTAATTTTTAATTTTTCAATTATCTGAGTTTATTTCAATTTTACACTCTGTTAGGTCACATTAATTTTCTGTTTTTTATAATTTTATCTAATATATAGTATAATTGTTTTATTAATATATTAATTTAGTTTCTTTCAAAAAAATATTAATTTAGTTTAAAAATTTTACGTGTTCAATATATTAGTTGTTCACAAATTTTAATTTCAGATATTTATACTCTTTATAGTAGACATTATTATTCAGATATTTTTTTTTGGAAATTATGAGTTATATTTCTATTTTGATTTTACTCTATAAATTATTCGGGATTTTTTTGAATACTTGAAGATTATATATATATATATAATGTTTTTTACTTTTATATTTGTATATATTCCGATTTTAAAATTTTTTACACTTCCATAAAAAATTATAATTACTTATCTTACATTTTTTTTAATCATTTTTTGTAAGAGTATATCATTTTTTAAAATATAATATCCTTACGTTTTTAATTCTTACTTTTTATCACTTGTCTTACGTTTTTAATTCCGATTTTTGTTTGAGTATATCATTTTTTAAAATATAATTTCCTTTTTTAGAATTCTGCAAATATAGATATTTATAAGTTTTTGAGTTTATAATTGTTTTCTATTTCTTTTTCTTTTTTATCATATTTCACACTTTTCTTTTTTTACTATTTTATATCTAGCTAATATTTGTTTAGAAAAAATTTCAATATTTAAAACATTTTAATTTTTCTTGTAAAGAAATGGATATTTTAATTTTTATATCATTTTTTATTTGTAGCACTCATTATTATGATTTTATTTCAAATTCATCCACTTCCACAAGTGGATTGAAGACAAGCGGTACGTACCTAAGGGGCTAAGGTCTTGATGTTACGGTGTTAGAGCATCCACAATGCCAATGAGTATTGCCCCCTCCTCTCTCTTCCACATCATTTTCCACAAAAAACTTAATCCCTTCTAACCTATCATAATTTCACCCCACTATGGTGACCTAGGTCACTCAAAATTTGTGCATTCTCTCTCCATATTTTTGATATATTCTACCATTATTAATTTATATAATTTGATAAAGGAATATAAAATTCACATTTTACTCACTATAATTTATTGTTGAGATTGTATCTAGTATAGTTAGAGAAGGAGTTGGATCTATTTTCAAAGGAAAAATATTCTAAAACAGATAAAATAAAATGCAAGAGGGAAAGAAATGGTAAATTTCGAAGTGACTAAACATATCATTCATTGGTCTATATTTATAGAGAAAAAAATATCTAATTTTTTGGTGTAATCTTTTTTTACAATAAATTAAATTTAATCAATAATAAATGAAATTAGAGAATGTGGGGATGTTTGATAAGGTTGGTGACTTCATTCTAAATTAAAAAGCCACATGGCATTTTTTAATTGGTTAATTATATGTCTCCTCCAATTTTTTGTCAGATCCCATATGTGAGCTTCCATGTTGATCGATCAACCTAGTGACCTCCCATAGTGGGGATTAAGTGAGATTATTTTTTTTTTGATCCCCAAATGACCACCCATAGCAGATGCTCTTAGCAGTTAACATAGAGTCTATTATTGAAAGATAAAACGGAGTCTATTATTGAAAGATAAAACTTTCGTTAAGCTATTTTTGAGAACAAATTTTAGTGGTGACAAAAATAATATTATTTCAATTTTTTGGTCTATTTGTGAAAAATTACCAACAAATGGCCCTCTGAAATGTTATCCATTTGGAAAATTATGCTAGGCTTAATGGCCCATCTTTCAACCTCATAAATCTGTTGCCAAATCTGTTTTTTTTACTGGTGTAGACCAGGCTGTGCATTTCAGGCCAATTGGGCTACCGAAAGACCCAATGTAGTAATTCCCATTTCATAAGTACTGGGCTGGATATTGTTAGGTCATTATCCCAGCACCAATCATTAAATAGTTGGAACCCAGCAAACTACCTTTTAAAGTCAATAATTGGAATTTCTCCAATAACAAAAAGTCAACAATTAAAAATTGGAACTTGCACAACCGTTGCTAGCCAACAAGCCCACCAAGTCTTTATTCGCACTTTTATTAGTCACTTTATTTAATTAGTAGCACAGTTTTTGTCATTTTTTATCCCTCAATTATTATGTCAATGACATTTTTGATACTCGACTTCTAATTGTTCCATTTTTAGTCCTTGACTATTGTGCTAGAGACACTTTTAGTCCTCGACTTCAAAGTTTCCCACATTTAGTCCTTGAGTATTGTCAAATTGACACTTTTAGTCTTCCCATTATGATTTTGACACAATAAGTGGAGGACTAAAAAAGTCACTATTATAATAGCTGAAGGACTAAAAGTGTCACTTTTATGAAAGTTGAAGGACTAAATATGGAAATTTTCAAAGACGGGTACCAAAAGTGTCTCTAGTACAATAGTCAAGGACTAAAAATGGAAAAAATCAAAGTCAGGTATCAAAAATGTCAATGACATAATAGTCGGAAAACTAAAAGTGGAAAAAACTCTTTAGTAGCATTATCAAATTCAATCAATACTTTTCATGAGTAGTATCTTTCCAAACAAGAACAATAACAAAAAAAGAGTATAACTTCAAGCCAAAAAAAGCATTGGAATAATTCTTTTTGCAACAGCCTAATGATTTCAAACAAAAGGGTTAGCATTTTTATGTGAGGTTTCGAAGAATAAGATGCTTGAACTAGTGGAGCATACACTCACCATTAAGTATTAGGTGTCCGGCAAAAAGAGCATAACTGCATAAGGTGAATTGTGTGTTCTTACTACAAAAATATAATAAATGTTTTGACACAAACTTGTCACATGAGTCCATGTCAAATAGATTGTGATAGTACAGCTTGATAAAGATGAGTAGATCCTTGTGAAATCCGTATCAAAATTATTTTCAAAAACTATTTGAGCATGCAAAATGGAACGGAAGCGTGACAAAAAATTAGTTTTCTTTTCTCGAATATTTTTATCAAGATTGTTATTTCTTCTTGCAGTGAACAAAATATAAAAAAAAAATTTCATTAAGTGTGCTTATCTGACACGCGTGGTATTTAAGTGATTTTGAGTTAATTAAGTGTGTGCATTTTTAAGAGTTGAAATATTAAGTACTACCTCTGTCCCCCTAATATTGAAATGAAAGAGAGTGATGTATTTTTTTAAGAAGTGGATTTATGTAGTTGATAAATTGAGAATAAATTAAGATTGAATTAAAGTCAAACAAATATTACCAAATATGGTATGAAGAAAAATTATTGGGACGAACGAAAAATAAAAGTTGGACATTTATAGTGGGAGTGTGGGAGGAATGAACTCAATGAAGTACTCCCTCCATCCCGTTGGGATGTTCCCGGTTTGACCTACACACATATTAAGGAAATAAACTTACCAGGGGTAAATTTTATTGTTTTGACACTGTTTGGACATTGTTTGGCACTGTTTGACACTGTTTTGATATAGGATAACTTTCCATTTAGGAAAATGGGAACTTCTTTTAGGGACATCCATAAAAGGAAAGCGGCAAAAGTGGAGCTTGGAGCATGATTGATCTTGAGACCATGGAATTGCACAAAATAGTGGTTTGTCACCTGCCAGTTTGCATTTATTGACCCTGATTGACTTTGGGCATGATCACTATAATTGTTCACTTCTACTGTACATGTCATTCGTCAATATTTTTATACACAAATCGGAGTCAATTGTCAACTGAGTAAATTAATAATGCACCCTGAGAACTCGCTTTTTACAGAAGATTGAACCTATGGAGCTTAACTAATGGCTTTTTATAGAGCATTTAGGGCTCAATGTGAATACATTTAAAGAAAACTCTCAGCAATATTGCCTTTTTTGGATTGCAGGAGTGTGGATTGTTATAGAAAGGTGGGCTTTTGGGAGCCCTTGTTGGAAATAGCAACAAAGGCGGAGTCTTTCTTTGATCTCGTCTCCTTAATGATGGTTCTAATAATTTTTCTAATGTTGTGGAATATTTGAAAGCGTAGGAATATTTATTAGAAATAATGACAAATATATGACTAAAATAATAGTAGTGGACAAAAATATGACTTAATGACTACCATAATAACGTTAGTGACCACTATAGTCACAATGCATAGTAACTATAGTAATATTTTTATCCATTGATTATATTTCGATAATATTTATGAAAAAACCTATATCTATTATAGGGAGGGACTTCAAGAAACACTCAAACACCTCATGAAGTCACCAGAAGGGGAGTTAGATGTTTTGCAAGCTTGGGAGAGTGTATGCAGGGGAGATACAACTAGAACATTTATGGTTAGATGTGAGCCCAAATAGAGTATGCTAAGTGGGAATGTGCTCAAATGTAATGTGGATGCTGCCATATTTAATCAAATGAGGAGGGATGAAGTGCGGGATAGGTACAGGATGTTGCGTAAGATGACTATTTTAATCTTACCTTTATGGATACGTAATTCAAAGTTTTTTACAAGGAGTTATTTTTGTTCCAAAAAGGTGGAATCTCTCACCCAGGAGACCCAACACGCCGACCCGACAGAATGGTAGATGAGTAATTCATGGTGATTCATTCTGTCCACTGGCGGCCTGGTAGGTCTTATACTAGTGCGTACCAGAGGTACAACCCATCATGCAGGAGCTATAACCTCCACCCGATCGCTGCGGGTTTCGATTCTTGGTCATTGCTCTTTACAAGGAGTTACTTTTACACGGTTATGAAAAATTCCTTTTGGACACGCTAGTTTTTACACGCCGAGTTACACGCCGGTCAAATTGTCTCTGCACAGACAATTTGACCGGCTACACAGACAACTTGACCGGCGTTTTATGAAGAAAACCGATCTTCACACAGACAAAAACAATGTCTGTATCACAGACATTTTACCCAAAAGGTACGGGACATGACAATTAATTTGAGAGCTTTTCTTTTAATACATCATTCACATCAATCCATACATGGATTGCTTTCTTTCAATACAAAATATTTCCTGCAATATAATGGATCTCTTGTTTTCAAAACTGCCAAATCAGAATTCTGAGCTTCTTACTGAAAAGACTAAAAGAAAATGGCTAAAACATATTTACATGGTAGAAGAAGAAAAGTTGTAAATTCACCAGTTTTTTTAGGGGGATAACAACTCAATTATTGAACATGATGGTAATGCTGCACATCTGATTTTACATGAATAGCCCTTCTTTCGGATCCAAAGTAAGAATCTGGCAAAGAAGCACTCCCTTGTTGTACCCTATTCATTCCCAAGGACCCTATCCCATAAGGGCACGTCCCAAAATATATACCTTGATGAGCTGGGCTAAAACTCCCCAAGACTGACCCATTATTACTCCCCTGTTGATGGTGGTTCCACTGAGGGGGCACTCTGTGGATATCAGAATTTGTTCGCAAGGAATCCGGTGATATCGCCTGAGATTTCTTGTTCTCCGGTGATCGGACTTTGTTGTCGTTGAGGTTGAGGGTAGTGATGTCATGAATGCTGGCCCTTCTCTTATCTTTACTGCCTGAGAGTTGCCTAATGAAGTACTTTTGAGCATGGCTTGCTACTTGTGTTGGTGTCCTTGTTACCACAAAGTTCCTAGAAATGTTTCTCCAATCACCTTTTCCATACTTCTTTAGCCCCATTAGGAACAACCTACATGTAACAAACATTCAATCTTTCTACTCAATACAAAAAAATCTTGATTTTGTAATAGTTGCTATAAATGTGTCATAATAACGAGCTTGTTTGGTAATATGAATAGACAATACTGAAATTGAATGAATTGACTGATTCTGTTGAAATTTATGAAGTTCGGGGTGAAGTGATTGGATTGGTGGATTCTACTGATTTATGAAAAACAGTTAAAATGATCATCTATAGTAACTTCAGTCAATACAACTAGAAAAACAACTTTTACCGTACTAAATCAAAAGTTACGTGTTCTGTGAAAAAAGTTGACTGATAAGTAAGATAATATGAAAAAACAGGGTCTTTGGGAGCTTTATATGGGTTTTAGCTTATGTGTATTGGGTGAAATAAATACATAGTTACTTGCATTTGGATAATGTCAATTGTTAATGGAAGAAAAAAAACTTGTAAATCAACTTAAAAAATGTTGAATCTTAATCAAACGTGTGAACTATAAGGAAAAAAGGGTCCAAACGCCAAACCTATGCTCTTCCTCCGTCCAAGGAACGCCCTTCTTCCTTTCTTGCTCATGCGTCCGGCTAGACGGCGGTCTCTTCGCACCGGCGGCGAAAGAACGACCGTGAGCATCGAATCCGCCACCGCTATTTCCCCAATAATCAAGTGTGAAAGGCGAAGCAAAACTACTCGGAGGAGGGGGGAGGGGCGCCGGCAAATCCATCAGACCAGCTTCTATGCAACTGACATCTTCTTCCAGTTCTCTGTACTGCAAAATCACATCCGCCGCCGTCTTCCCGGGGACCATTTCCGCCACCTTCTCCCACCGGTCCGGCGTGTCCTTGTCGTACAGAGCAAGGGCGTTCTCGAAGGCTTTGTTCTCAGAATGGGTCCATTTTGTACTTTGGCTTTCTGCAACTAACCAGCTTGAATTTGACAGGTTGTGATTAGAGCAAGTTGGGGATAGAATCTCCATTTCCCACTTCATCTAGTAAAGGCTCCAAGGTTTTTGAAAGCTTTTCTTTTCCTGATGATGATATGAGCAGAGGAGAGGAAAGAAACCAGAGGAAATGTATAAAGGTGTAAGCTTTATAGTGACATTAAATCAAAGGAGCATTTTGGTGTTGAGGGAATCAGAATGTCTTTTTTTTACAGAAATAGCCTCCCTCCTCAACAAGAGAATCTGTCTTCTTCCTTTTGTGGTAAATGAAAAAAGAAAATGCTAACTTTATAAATGGAAAACATGGTGAAAATAATCATTCTTGGACCAAATAATGCAACATAAAACGTGTAGCTATGAATGAGAGAATAAAGGCACTCTTACCAGAAAAAGTGATGCCTTACACCCACCATGAAATTTGAAGTTAAAATCTGAAAAAAGAAGTCTTAGAATAAACGCCCAAAATAGAAAGTTTCTAAGAAAAGTGGGATGTCACTTAAAAACTGAGATGAAATGAGAAGGCTATAGGTTGCTTCTACTGTATTATTCTTATTGTTATTATTAATGCACCGTATTATGTTAATAATTAATATTAGTGCTCTTTTGGCAACATGAAAAGCAAGAAGAAGATGGAAGGTGAGTGGAAAGGAGTTACTCTAAAAGGAAAAGCAACTGCTTCAAGGAAAAGTTAATACTTCCTCCCTGTTTTAAGATTCCGTTTTTTGCGGGTTTTAATTAGAAAAAAAAAAAATTGATTGCCACATACTTCAACTTTTACATGAATGGTTTATTACTTTATTATAGTCACACTATTTTTTAAAGAATTCTTATTAATAAAGTTAATGGAAAATTTCAGAAGTAGGAGTAACAACATTTTAGAATTCAAAAATAAGAATCTTATGTTTTTTATTCTTTAAATATGAGTCCTTACTGTCATACTAGAAAAATAGTGTCATTCTAAGAGTTTGGTCATCAGGGACGGAACTATGTATATGCCCCTCCCAACATTTTTATTTTTTTAATTATTGGCTAGTAATTTATTTTTCAAAATATGTTTATAGTTATATTCCATACTACATTTATAATTTTTCAATACTTCATTAAAATATAATATGTATAAAAACATTATACGTAGTATATTCTAGAAGTAGTCATTTTGGAAAATATTAATCTATAACAACACTATATTTTGAAGAAGTGATTATTACCCCATAAATAATACTCGGTACTCCGTATGTAAAAATATATTATTAATAATATATTATGGAATATGGAGTAGTATTGGAGATATCCGTCTTAAATTATCTAATATAAAAGAATTATAAGAAAAAAATTGGGATACTAATTTAATAAACTTTAAGAAGAGTATATTATGTAATAACATTTTGCCCCCCCCCCCCCCCCACCCTCACCTCCTGGCTCCGCCCCTGTTGGTCATGCCAACAGATAACAATAATTTTTATCTAAAGAATAAAAATATTATAGTCTTATATTGAAATGAGAAAAGGGTCAAATAAGGCCATCAATTATTACAGAATCGTCACATAAGATCATATACTCAATAAAGTGTCATATAAATACTTCTACTAATAAGAAACAATCGGATGAGTCAAAACGACCCGTTGACAACCTCATAATTCCGATTTTAGTGTACGTTTGGTTATCTTTTTGAAATAGATAAGGCCGACTGAAATATTTGATCTGGATTGGATTAAATACAAGACACAAATAAATACATGTAAGCTAAAATTGGGATTAAGAGGTTGTCAACGAGTCATTTTGACTCATCCGATTGCTTTTTTTAAGTAAACCTATTTATATGACACTTTACTGAGTACATGACCTTATGTGAAGATTTCGTAATAGTAGAATGCCTTATTTGACACTTTTCTCTATTGAAATTCATATACGTTTTACTTCTATTCAAGAAAATTTATTTAAAGTAAAACAGTAGTATTAGAATGGTTTCAAATAATTCCTCAAAAAAAGAATGGTTTCATATAAAAAACAAAAGTTCTTGATACATTTAAGTGTTGATCTATAGTTTTTCAACCATCCATTCTATGTATGGACAGTTTTTTATCATTCACAGGGACGATCATGGAGTTGTGGTGTCAATTGACACCACTCAATTTTTTTTTATTTGTATATATGTATTGAAAATTTAAAGAATGACACCATAGTTTTTAAAAATAAGATCAATATATAAGAAATGACACCACATATTCTCAATATCTACTCTCTGTATCTAACATTTTTTTTAAGTTTGATTGAAACAAAAATCAATAAAATAAGAATTATTTTTTCTGACAAATTTGAACAGTGTTAGCAGTTAAATGGTTATTTTATACGTAGTATACGAAGTAATACTTCGTATATATACCCTATATTTCTTTGTGTTGATTTAGTTGATGGATAAATACTAAACATGAATTCAATATTATTGAATGATTGAGTAAAATGAATACGCGCGAGAAATTCAATTGATGTCAAAGTTCTAAGTAATTCCCACAAAACTATAAAGGGGTCATATTTTTAAAAGTTAAAATATAAAAATTACTTATGTATTAATATTTTTATGCTTTATTGTTTTTATAATATTACTTTCATTGTTGACACCACTGATATTACAGTCTGGCTCCGTCCCTGATCATTCACATACTTTACTGAATTGATAGTTAGCCTTGATTGAAAAGACTCTTAAGTCAATTTTAGAGTAGAAGTGTTGCAACAAATAAGCAATCTAATGTGATGATTTTAATATGTGAGGGATCTAAGAGCGAAGAAAACAAAGATTTGATTATTCTCAAGAAAATGAAAGGTTGAAATATTTAAACAATATGAATTGAATCGACCAGAAATTGTTGGATTGAGATTAAATTTCTTTATGTTATTTTTTTTTGAAAATCAAATAACAAATTTATTAATAAAAGATAGCAAAAGATACAAGAGAACGAATAGCCTAAGACTACAATGGGATGAGACATAGAACGGAAGAGATTCAATGAATCCTGACAGATCGCTAATCCCGCAATAATGCAGTCTAGTCTAATAGCGTTGCTGCTCTTCTTGCTACTCCAAAGAGGAAATAAAAAATTGCAACTAAGAGATCCGGCTTCACCAGCCACCAGAAAGGGAGAATTGGTTTGACCATCAACCAACAAAGGAAATTCAATTGAGCAGAAATTGTTTGGATCATCAGTTTGACCAGCCACCGAAAAAGGAGATCTTGTTGAGCGCTATCTTTTTCTTCGAGTAAGGTGGTGGTTCAGGAGGAGGGCTTGTAATTGGAGCTTCAGAATAAACATGTCTTGTCAACCATGAATAATGAACCACTCGATCGGTTACACCGATGAGGATGACACAACCTCCTGACTTTGCTAGGAGAAGAACCAAATACACGCTCACATGAAGCAGACATAACTCTCGGCCAAATAATATGCCGGACCAAAACCACAACCTCATCTCAAAAATCAGGAACTAGACGTTGCTGGAACTGAATGCTGGAAACTTCATGAGCCTTTGCGCTACTCCGATCGTCTGGAAATCTTCAATCGGTGGCTTCTTTATGTTATTATACATTGATAAAGTCAATATTTTCTGAATCTCGGTCGTATATTAATTTTAAATTTGGAGAAACTATAAGAATGTTCGATTAAGCTGCGCGCAAGAATAGAATTACAATGTCATGCAAGTTTGATACATAAAGTTGGACATGAAAAAAAACAAGTTGGTGAAACAAGTTGGTGACTATTAAAATGAACATGTCAATTCAAGAACACAAATGTCAAACATAAAATGCGTAGGAGTAGTTTTTTTAAAACAATACTCAAATAAATTTATGAGAAAATGTGAGAGACTGAATGTACCATCATGCTTTATGTAAAGTTTTTTTAGAGGGCTTTATGTAAAGTTAAACACTTACATGACTATTATACTCCCCTCCGATCCAAAATGGTTGAACAATGTTGACTTGCACGTGGATTAATAAAGTAAAAATTGTGTGGTTAAAATTTGTGCAGAAGAGAGAATTAATTGTAGCCACATATTCCTTACTTTAAATGGAAATGGTAAACCTTTTTGGACAACAAAAATAAAGGAAATTTGGCCAACCACTTTGGGATGGATGGAGTAGTTAATCTTATGGTTATTATGTGCTCCGTATTAAAAATCATAACTTAACTTATTATCTTTATTTGGGATACATTGTACTAGTATGTTGTTTATAAAAATACACTACACCGTATTTTTTATTTGCACGGATAAGCTTTGAGATTTTCCTTACGTATCAATGAAATATGAATCATGAACAAAAATATTTCTATTATTATTGTGCATGGTTGATATAGGGAAGAATTAACACAATCATGATCACTAAAGTTTCTATAATAGTCATTAGTCATAGTATAAAACTCACATTTTCGCCTACTAGCTACTATCTCCATATTTCCTATAGAATTAGCGTAAAAGTACTCTGTATTAGAGAATTGATAGAAAATAAGGAAAAGAAGATGAAAAGGCTAGAAAATAGGAAAGTGAAGATAAAAATATTAAGGCAAAATGGATGCATGTGTTATAAATAAAAATCTATTTATTGAAAAGAAATACGATACAAGAAAAAATATGGTTTAAGCATAATAAAATAATGGAGTGAGAAGTGACCGAGAGTCACCAAGGACCGTGACAAAAAGGTTGTGGTGTTTTGTTCATATCCTATTGTTTACCCAAACTTATCACGTGACCTCTAAAAATAACATATGCTCTAAAATGGGGTAACATTTTCGTGAATATGTCAAAATTTTATTTTTATTCTTAAACAATTAATACGAAGTTAGCATTTCAGTAATTCAGTTTCGTTTGAACGGGTCTTGCCACAAATCAAATCAAACATTCTAATTCGACTTTCGTTTTCATAATTCATTTTAAACCCAACAAAATCAAACTCATATTCACAAATTAATGAGCCCGGCCGGCCGGGGACCTAGCATCTGTCATTCAAGTATGTATTCACGAAATCAACTAAATTCTTTGTTAATTACTCCGTATTTGATTTTGTGTAATACATATACGGTCCTTTTTCATGAATATCAATACCCATGTCTCGTGTGAAGCCTTTCATTTATTTAGATAATAATTAAATATTGTAATCCGAGTATATATATTTTGAGAAATAATTTTAATAAGTACAATATTTGATGATTAAATATAACTATATATTTGATGATATAATATAATGAGGTCAATGGTGATAACTGTGAAGTTATAGATTTATTATTTCTAATATTTAATGATTAAATTGTTATTTAAAAGTGTTAATTGTTTCCTAAAATAGAAATGAAAACTTTTATATGGGATGTCGTCCAAAAAAGAAAAGTAAGAACCTTTATATAGAATGGATAGAGTACTAAATTAAATTCAAAAGACAAAAATACAATTTATTTTTAATTTTTCTAAACATATTTAGTGATTAACTCTCAGTGACTTTTCACTATGAAATACACTATAATGACTCTTGTCCAGTTATTCGTGTATAGTGATTAGTCATATTTTTATCCAAAAATATAATTAGTCTTATTTTTTCTGGTGACACTCTATTAATAATATACATGTCATTATTTCAATAGTATTATGTCAATTATATTTTTTGT